CCCCCCCCCCCCCCCCCCACCCCCACCACCACGACAACCAAATCTTGAAAGTCTAAATACGCTCTAATGCTGACTATTAAGCACATTTAGATACGGTTTATTGCCAATTTCAGGCTAATAATCTTCCAGCAATTTTTAACCTGTTTTGTCTACAAAAAATATGAACTGCTATACGTAACATTTGGATACCTAGTATGTAATGACGAGAATACTATACCCTAAGCCCTAAGGCGTGACTGTCACGCCTGCGGATCGGAAACTTCGATCTCACGCCTACTCACGTCTATGTTCCAATTTGTCACGCCTGGTAATAAAAAATGTTTGAGCCATCACAGCATTGACTGTCTCATTTTGAAAAATATATTAATTATTTAAAGACACCGGAACCAATTTGTGAAAAGAAAAGTCCATGTGAATGATCAACTTTCTCCAAATTCTATATTTTTAGTAGGGAAAGTCACTGGAGACGAGGTCGTGTTCCTTCGTGATCCCGTGTTTGTGTTAGACGGAACTCTTCAGAGTATCTTCGGAACGTCTTCGGAAGTCTTCGGAGATCTTCGGATACTATCGGAACCCCACCAAAAATCCTGGCACTCTCAGGATAAAAATGTCACGTCTATTTATAGATTTAAAAAAGTTGGCAGGTATCGAATACTCATACTGCTTGGTCCAAAACCTCAGTCCTTTCTCTTGTTGAAACGTCCCAAGCTTCACGGAGCTCTTCCATTTGTCCCGCGATCGCTCCACTTCCTTCATTTTTCTTTTTAAACTCTAACGGTCAGAGCAACTAAGCTGTAAAGGCAACACCTTTTAAGAGTAGTCTCGCACACATCCACAGTCGATCTTATATACAGTGAAACCTGTATTAAGCGGACACCCTCGGGGAATGCTGTGTCCGCTTAATACAGGGTGTCCGCTTAATACAGGTTTCGACAGATAGCGCCATATGAGGTGTCAAATGCCGTTTAAATGAACAGTGGGAAGGTTAAGAATACTCGCAGAGATTTTGACAATATACGTTTGCATTAATTTCTTTATCAAAGTGGCCCAGTTGATCATAACTGACCATAAACATAGATTGCAACTCAAATTTGAAGAAATCAGATGAGTGAAACAAGCTCTACACAAACAAAACGAAATAGAAAGCAATACTGTACTGTGAAACTAAGTCATTTCACGTTTTTACTGTAAAAATAGAAAAATTTGTGGGTGGCAATTCGAGGCAATCTTCGCATTTCCGGTGTCTGGCATGTTGGGTGGTGGCAATTGATTACAAGTGTCCATTTAATACAGGTTGGTAACAATAGAAATGACCATTTCAGGTTCTTTTTAGGTGTCCGCGTCCGCTTAATAGAGGTGTCCGCTTAATAAAGGTTTCATTTAAAGCAAATAAGGGAAATAAATTTTGGGACTTCGGCTACTGTCCGCTTAATAGAGGGTGTCCACTTAATACGGTGTCCGCTTAATACAGGTTTCACTGTATTTGAGAAGTAATATAAGGAGCCAGGAGCCCACCAGCTCCTGAAGGAGCATAAACACGTCTTTTTTGTTGCACTACAATTGCAGTTTATAGCACCTGCAAATACTAGTGTCAGTGACGCTAAAAAACTCATTAAATTGACTTCTTTACTGTCCTTTTCCCAAAACTGCATGTGCTTTGTTACAAGAATGAAGTCCGCATGAAAGCTTATGAACGCATATGAAAAATTCTGAGCCCCTGCTAAAAAATACTATGTTTGTCGCGATGGAAGCTTTATTAAGCCCTTTTAAAATATGGCTTTCAGTTTAATCCTATACTAAATGCAGTGTAATTTTCAACTCAACTCTTAGGGTCAAGGGACTGCAGTTATTTAAAGAATGTGCGCTGAGTACTCGACTAGAATCGGATTAAGAACCACGTAGCACGGACAGAACACATATGGTTTATTAAATGGGCACTTGGAGGGCTTAATGGCATGGTTTCTGTTGTTGTTGCCACAAACATTTTAAGCCTCAGTTGTTAATCAAACCACTACTTTGCTTTAATTCTTAAAGAGACTCAAACTTTAGTAACATAACAGAAAACCGCCCCTGTTCCCAGAATCTTTCTTACAGTTCATGACAGTTTTCTTTTTCCGTTGTATTCTTCCAAAAAGAACTTCAGGGTTTGTAGCTCCCTTGGTATGCTTTTGAAGGAGAATGTAAAGGATAAATAGATCTTTTTAGCCGGCATGTTTTGTTTTTCCGGTGTAGGTCATGTAATAATGCTCTAGAGACTCTGTTTCAATCATATTTCGTCTTATTCCAGTGCATATGTACGCATAAATTTATGAAAAGACAAAGGGGCAAATTCCCCTGCGACCTTATAGAGAAAAGAAAACATACAACCTAAAGAGGTCTATTAACGCGCAGGAAAACACTCCTTCTCTTGCCCATCATATATGTATTGACGGTCCTTAACTTAATTTCTTCTTTCCTTTTGTCTTAAAAAGGCGCCAAGAAGACTAAACTAGGTTTAACCTCTCCAAGTTCTCCCCATAAAACAAGTTAGCTGTCAAAAGTAGATGCAATTATATTGATTACTCTTAATTGAATTTTAGTACGTGCAAATTTTGAAATAAAAAAAGAACACTCCCTCATCAAACATGAAGATTGGCGCAATTTTAAAAGATTGTCAAGAGTATCTACTCAGATCATAAGACGCACGTGTAGAGCTGTTGTTTTGCTCAAACAATTGTTTTTTTGACATTTTCGTTGTCGTGGTTGCTGAAGTCCCTGAAGCTAAGGATCTTATAAAAAAAATGTAATGACAAAGCTATGTTGTAATCTTGATCCGTTGTACGAAAGTATTTCTTATATTTCAAAGATCGATAGCGAGTTTAACAAGCAATAATGATAATTACAATAAAGTTAACTAATATTGATTTCAGAGGACGAGGGCTGCCTTTTGTAATATTGCCTTTCAGGTACAGGGCCGACATTTCGCACGCCGGGAGCGCAGTGGTTGCGTCAAGAAATGTCGGCTGTTTTCTCAAGCTACCTTCTGCGCGTCTTTGACGATAAAAGTATAAAAAATCATATGGTCAACATTTTGATTTAAACTGTTTACTTTACTGTGGATCCTTATTCCAGATTGGTGACAATTAATTTAGTTATTCTTTTGTCTTCATGATAATTGGGCGTCATGAATGTTTCTATTCAAGGTAAAAGTTGTTTTCAATTCTGCAGTTGCAATATTGATAAATAAGGCTAATTAACTCAAGTACCAAAGAAAAGTAATATTGTCACCTTTTTTATGAACTCGCCATTTGAGTTACACAGACCTCGAATTGTCACACAACTAGTACTCTATTAGCATGTGGTTACAAGCTCGGAAAGAGAATCTTATTAAAATTCAGTAAAACTTGTTTTGCCAATCAATGCTTGAAAAATTAGTTTCGAAATGTTCAATGTTGAAGTAGGCTAGCTGTTGCAATTTAATGAAGGCCGATTTTCCAATTCATCCTTTTTAGCAGACTGGAAGGGTTGTTGATTATCCAGCTAGCCCAATTTAAGGGGTTGAGACTCACGGTTCAGGTTCATTTCAGCACACGAAGCCGCCACTGTTTTCCTCACAAAATGACGTAGAAGTCCCACAAAACATGAAGGAAAAGAAAATCGTGCATGGAAGAGACCAGAAATTTCACTTTAAATGAAGACAAATCACTGCAAGCTGACTTTGTTTTGTTGTTCCTTTTTTTGTTTGTGTTTTTCTCTGATTTAGCGCGCACCTCTCACTGAGGACAGGAGCTTGGGCTTTGGCTTAGAACGCCGGCAGCTGCGTGCTCAGTCAGGTAATAAAGTTTGTCACACGGCCGCAATGAGAACAAAAAAAATTAAACAATATGTACTAGATTTTATAAGCTTTTAGCGACTGTTCACAACCGCAGTCGTCGTGGTGGTCGCTAGCTTTAGCTCCCCGAAACGAGAACCACGTGGAAAAAGAACAGCTTTATGATAAAAACTGTAACGCCGGCATCACAATTTTTGTACATTTTGCGCTCCTCCTCAGTGACAACTGAAACGCGAAATTCGCTGATGCACCGTTTTAGGAACGACGAACACAAGACAGCGAGTACTCTTATCTCTGTCGAACAGTTTAAAAGTCTATCTAACTGTGATAAAGTAGGTATGAAATCGCATGAAGGGCACGAACTCTGATAATTGATAGGTGGAGGTTACACAGGCGCTGTGGTGGTGCTTATCGACAAAATCTAGCCTCCTAATCTTCCTACATGGGTGTATACTTAGTTTTATACGACATATAGAGTTGACGCCCAAGTTCTTTATTGGGCAGCTGTAGCGTTAAAATTTAGAATAACAACCCTTGTTCCTTTCGAGATTTGCAAGCCTTTAGATTTCGGCGGAGATAACAAGACACTGGTTTAAAACCTAGCTCTCAGATTGAAATTATAAAGAAACGTCAGTGATTAGTGGTCATACAAAGCAAGGTAACGAAATTAAAAACGACGCAAAAATTAAGAAGTCCCTTCTTACAAGGGGGAAGCATCGCTACTTTCGGAGGGGATTTAAGTTACCGCGGTTCTATTGCAAACAGTAAAATGAATACTTAAGGATATATATCTTTATTGAATGTTTGCTTGATTAAATGTTTTACAACTTTAAGACGAGCACCACGGGCCCAATGAAAAACGAAAAAGGAGTAAATGTTTCAATAAGCCTGAAAAATACTGTTGGTCCAGTTCACTTTTACTAAAACGGAAATGCATTTTTTTTTTCGGGAAATCATCGCACGAGCTCAAAGTTAACTAAACGGTGTCCCGTTGAGAATGCAGTGATGCCAGGGTAAACAGAAATGTTGATTGTAAACTGTGGGAATGCCTCCCTGGTTAAAATGCAGCGATCCAAGGGATTGAGCTGGAAATGGCGGGTTTGAGTTGTAAGTATAGCCGGGGAAGAATGGACTTTGAATAGTGGAGTAGTTATGAACCAAATTATTGCCCGTACCTTCCTGGCTCAAAGGAGGATTCGGCCGCAATTTACGTCTTGAAAAATCTCCATGGCTAAACTCTGCCAAAAAGCTGGGATGGATCCGCCAGTAACAGCCAGCCTTGTGCATCGCGATCTCTCCTCGCTGAAAGCATTCGTGACGTGACAGGTTATGGCGGACAGTGTTCTTCCAGCGTACTCTATTCTGGGTAAAACTAGGATAGTTGTTCTGGATGAAATCGTAGATCTCAGACAACGTGACTCGTTTTAGTGGTGAGTGGAGAATAGCGTAGGATATTGCCTCAACGTAGGACAATGAAGAACACTTTCGTTTCGGCCTCTTATTCCGCGTTGTTTGATTGGTCGAATACCTCTTCTCTCCTGATGAAACGTCGCACGCTTCACGGAGATCTTCCATTTGTCTCGATCGTTCCACTTCCTTCATTTTTCCTTTTAAACTCTAACGGTCAGAGCAACTAAGCTGTAAAGGCAACACCTTTTAAGAGTGGTCTCGCACACATCCACAGTCGATCTTATATATTGGAGACTGAGTAAGTAATATAAGGAGCATGGACACGCCTTTTTTGTTACACTAAAATAGCAGCTTATAGCACCTGCAAACACTATGTTTAGTGTCAGTGACACTAAATGTGGTTTACTGTCCTTTTCCCAAAACCCCATGTGCTTTGTTTCCAGAATGAAGTCCTCTTGAAAGCGTATGAACACATATGAAACATTCCGAGCCCCCACTAAAAAATAATATGTTGCTTTATTAGGCCCTTTTAAAATATGGCTTTGTTTAATCCTATAATGCAGTGTAATTTTCACCTCTTTTATTAGGGAAAAGGGACCGCACCTTAGGCAAACGATATGCATTTATTTAAAGCATGTGCAGTAAGTGACGACTAGAGAATCGAATTTATGAATCACAGCACGTTGCACGGACAGAACGCATAATTTGCTTACTCAGTGGGCACTTGATAGGCTTAATGGCATGGTTTCTGCAGTTGTTGCCACAAACACTTGAAGCCTCAGTTGCTGAACTAACCACTGCTTTGCTCCAATTCTTAATTAAAGAAACTCAAACCTTATTAATACAGAAAGCCGCCCCTGTTCTCAGGGTCTTTCCTACAGCTCATGAGCATGAGAGTTTTCTTTTTGCGTTCAGTATTCTTCCAAAAAGGACTTCAGGTTTTGCAGCAGCTTCCTTGGTATGCTTTTGAAGGAGAATGGAAAGGATAAATAGATCTCTTTAGCTGATAATACTCTAGAGAACTGTTTCAATCATATTTCGTCTTATTCCTGTGCATATATACGCAGAAGTTATGAAAAGACAAAAGGGGCAAATTCCCCTCAGACCTCCCTGATAGAGAAAAGAAAACATAAAAGCTAAAGAGGTCTATTAACGCGCAGGAAAACACTCCTTCTCTTGCCCATCTTATATATATTGATCTTCCTTGACTTTATTTTTTTCCTTTTATGTTAAAAAGGCGCCAAGAAGGTTAAAGGTTTTAGGCCTTTCTAAGTTGTCCCACTAAAACCAAGGTAGTGTCAAAAATCGATGCAATGGTATTGATTACGCTTAACTGAATTTTAGTACGAGCCAATTTTGAAGTAAAAAAAGGACCCAAAATTGTCAAAAGTATCTTCTCAGATCATCAGAAGACAATTTTAATTGCTCACTTAAACGATTTTAACACTGGCTATTTTGACTAAACGATTTATCGATAAACTCAAAAGTCGGGGGCTGTGTTCCATTCAAGCCGCCGATCAGTTGGGACTTGCACACAAAATCAGATTTCCCAAGTTTGCACTTATGAGGTAGGTAGCATTGCGAAAAAAAATTCTGGCTTACTTCCATCATTCCCTATAAGACTACTGTAAACAGTGGTGAGTCGACATTGGTGTCTTCCGCGACAAACCTGTTTAAGCACAGTAATGCAGGGTTGTTTTCGCCCATGCATGTTCAAATCCCTTCCTCTTCGCCCGGTTGAACATAATATTCATTTACACAATGCCTACTTTCTATGAATAGATTTAATCATTCTATAACTCTTACTTTATCGATCAGCATAAAAATGGGGGAAATGGTAGCTTTAATGTTGTTTGCTACCTCATTTAAGCTTTCATCGCTTGCTTCAGAGTTACTGGTAAGTATTTCGAAGGAGTACGCCGCATTTAAACGAAAAGCTGATTTAAAAAAGAGGTCGAATTGGTGCAAGACAAAAATCAGGCAGTAGAGGGGAAAAACTGAATTAAGGATAGAAGCTAAAGCAGGTTGTCAGGCAGGCCTTACGTCTATTGACGGTCTCTCTCGCGTTGGTAGAGAGAAGGCTGCATAGAAAGAACGTCCGAACGTTATTAATAATAATTTTACGGACGCTTGCTGATGATATTTCCTCTCATTCATGATTCATATGTTGCAAAGTACTGCTGCAATGTTTAAACTATGTATTACTAGTTCTGCTACATTAGTAATAAATACACAATCTTGGCATATTTCATGTTCTTCTTTCTTTATAAAAGCAATACTTTTACAATCTGATTTCTTTTCTAATTTAGTTAAACTTTCTGCCAGGCAATAACAACTTTCCATCTTTAAATAAACAACTCCTTGTGCAATTTGAACCTCGCTCGCAAAAAGAACTTTCGAAATACTTTGATAAAAAACCCAAAGAGACAGAAAACTTCCCAAAATTAAATTAAAAAATCGTATCATATTAATCTAGATTGTTCATTAGTCGTTTCTCAAAAAAACGGGCACGTGCTGTAGTTGCCTGTTGAAAAAAAAAAAAAAATAATGATAATAATAATAAATAATAATAAAAATCAAATACTGACTGCGATCTCTTCCTTTTTCTCTGGGTTGATTTTTTATTCAGGTGCAAAGGAGGACTGAAAATAACCAAATGTGAATACCAAAACAGGCACTGGGGCACGTCACAAAATGTGGTTTTCAGTAAGGCACTGTATACCACACAAAATCAAACATGTTTATAATATGGCGTTTAAAAGTTTTAGAACAATGGAAACGATGTTTTAGTATGCTTTGTCATGACGTTTACAACTCACTTAGCAGAAACTGTAAACTTTTCTACAGCGGATACTTTTTTTACTTAACGCTTCAATGATTGATCATGGTGGTTTAAAATGTCGAACCCATTCCTTTAGATAAGTAAGGTGGAGGAAAATAGGACTAACGAGTTCAAAGTGTTTAATTTAGTACTGTTTACCATCCAGTGGGTTGCCATGATGGTAAGAAGGTGACTTGATCCGCGTATGTCACAGGAAAGCTCCTATGGCGATGATCTGAATACAGCGGCGTCAGCGGTGAAATGGGAGCAACAGAAAATGGTGGGTTTGGCTGATGAATACAGCATGGGAAGCAAGGACGTTCAACAGCGATGTGGTTTTCGAGTAAAGTGCTAGTCAAAGGTGGATTCTGGCACATCGATCTGCGTTTTGTCGAAAAATTTCCGCGGCTAAACTCTGCCAAAAAGCTGGGATGGATCCGCCAGTAACATCCAGCCCTGTGCATCGCGATCTCTCCTCGCTGAAAGCATTCATGAAGGGACAAATTGTGACGGACAGTGTTCTTCCAACGTACTCTATTCTCAGTGAAGCTAGGATAGTTGTTTTGGATGAAATCATATATCTCAGCCAAAGTGACTCGTTTTTGCGGTGAGCTAAGGATAGCGTAGGAAATAACCTGGATGTAGGACAAAGGAAACGCATTTCTCCTTTTTTTTGTCTTCTTTTTAAATCGTGTTTGATTGTTTGGCTTCTCCCTCTTCTCTTCCTTAGAGACATCACACCTTTTACGGAAATATTCCACCTGCTCACCTGGCTTGTCTGCCTTCTTCATTTTCTTGATGGAAGAGTCAAAACAAAGCTGAGCCGTGGGGGATTTCTTAAACAATCGCGAGTCTAGTAGACTTGAAGCCGGGAATAAATTAAATGAAGACCGATTTGACTTCTCTTGTCAAACACAATGGAGTTTAAGCTAATTATCAATAAAGAAACATGTTTACCTTTTAACCACAAAAAGGCTAAATGCAGTGGATGGGTGTCGCTGAATAAAATATAGCTTTAATAGCTATTAGCCAGAAGTACAAGCATACCTTTGTTCAAATGAATTAACCTACTGTTTCAGCAAAGGCCCTGACCAGCACTAATGTTTCGTAATTGTTGCGGTCAAACTGAAATTTTAAATTGACAGAGCATCTTTCCTTCAGACAGTAGTGACAATACATCAGCTATTTCAAACAATTAATTCGTCGCCGTACATCTTGTTCAGTTGTATCTAGCCTAAGCAACCACGACCAAAGATAATAGAGAATTTAAGATCCACGTAAGCGCTGGTAGCGAAAACGTCGCTTTCAAAGCCCTGAATTTGCGTTCTTCCGACCCATTTACTCTGATTTACTTTGTCAAATGTATGCGAACTCGCGAACTCCCCTGGAGTTGAATTCCGACACGTTGTCGGATCTTAAAGTCGTCCTAAATGTGAACGAAACGTCAGTAACAAGAAATCATGACGTTGAGCAAACCGCTTAAATATACCGGTGCAGGGGAAGCTTTGTGACGTTCATAAATACAAAGTTCGAGTTCAGAAGGGCGAGGAAAATTAACATTGGGGAGCCGGGAGCATATCATAAGCAACCAAACTCGGACGGCAACGGCGGTGGCGAAAACGTCACTTTAAAATGAGAATTCGTGCTGTTTCAAACTTTTGAGTTTTCTTGCATTTCGTTCAATTTGTTAACTGTTAGTGATATTTTGCGGACTTGAATTTTAAACAGAAACAGGAAATCGTGGTCTTGTGTTCACGTCCGATATGAAACGTGAAAAACGTGAAATTAGGAAGTTTCATGTTGTACTCGGTTCGAGCTGCAGCGACGGCAAAGAAATGTACAAAAAAGCGTGGTCTTTTTTTTTGTCGTGGTATGCAGACGCACTTCATAAACGTTTCATTTAAAGAAAACGAGCGAACTGAAACGCAGGTATTTGTTAAGCCCCATTGTAACCTTTGTGGACAGGTGTCGGCACAAAGGGTTGGAAGCCCAAACAAAGCATCACTTACACAAACTTGATTAGATCAGAGTTACATGTCCAATACTTACTAGGACAATGTCGTAAATGGGTGTCAATGATACAATAAAAAGAAATACGATCGTGGACTGGTCTTGTTTCAGCTTACTAGGGACTTTGAAATTAAAGGACCTGATGGCAGCGAAAACATTGCTAAAAAGTGGATTTGCGCTGCTTTAGTCTTAATTGCGATTATTATATTCCTAAATGTAGTACCCATCTTTACTTTGTCAAATGTTGGTTAAAATAACCCTCCTGGAGCTGAATCCTAGGGACCATTTCCAAGTTCAGAAAGGGAAACAAAATTTGTATCAGAAACACTTCATTGTGAAGGCAAAATCACAACGACAAACCATTGAGGGTCCCTTGGATCCTTAGTGGATCCGGATCAGTAAAATCTTGAGTACCAAATTATTAAAATTAAAACAGTAAACTGATCCTTACGGCTGGAAGAAAGGTAGAAAAAATAAAAAAAGAGAACAAAAATAAAGTGGTGAATTATATTTGCCCGATGTCTCGGTTTGCAACACAAACCTTCAACGGGGGATATAAAAGAAAAATGAATACAGATAAAAGATGAACGTTTCATATGCGAGATTTGAATACATAGCAAACAGAAAATGACAGGCTACTAAAAAGATAAATGTCACTTATTGAGTTCAGTCACGTCTATTTATAGCAAGGAAGTTCTAAAGTCATAGCTTTATCAATGAGGTGAACCTTTCGTGCCTTTCTGACAATGACGGTTGCTACGGATTAGTTTTAAGGGAATAAGAAGGACGTCGCTGATAGAGTGATTGGCTTTATTAAAATGTTCGAAGAGTAGGATTAGGAAACCCCAATTGCAAAGCGTTGGTGGAGATGGCGCTTGCTCTCCCTAATATGCTGTTTAATTGGCCGCATTTTTTGATAAGGTTTTTGGATTTACAGTTTAAGGGGTCATGTATACGTCATTTCTCTTTGGAGGAGGTGAAGGTGTAGTTGGCTTGGCCTTGTTTTAAAAATGGACGCAGATAAGGAAGCGTGTACGTGGATTATTGCATTTTGAAACGCCGGGACAAGGTTTTTCTTGTTGTAGGCTACGATCACGTAAAGTGCTTCTAAGTCGTGACTGCCAAGCCACGTGAACAACTTTACAAATGCTAAAAGCCATGCCAGAAAGAAACCTATGCTCTCAGGGTATTGACCACGCTTAACGTAATAACAAACATAAACGCACTTTGCAATTAAGGTGGCTCGATGGGGTTTTTCAGTGTCAATACCTCCCAAGGTTAAGCATAAACTAGGTCTCCATCATTCAACAACTGTATTCGGGAAAGTTACCACCATAGTCGTTACGTCACGTTCCCAATGCCGCGGCAACAAAACGAAAATTTAAGTGAATTTGGACTGCTTCAAACTTAATCAATCTTATTCAATTTCATTTACTTTGTCAAATTTGTCAATTTTCTGGGGCTGAATACGAAAGGACCGTATTTAAGTTTAGAAAAAGAAAAACAAAATTTGTCTTGTGTTTACCTACTCCATAAGGCAAGCGTGTGAAATTAGAAAGTTTCATGTCGCAGTCGTGCAACGACGACTAAGAAATGTACAAAAAAGCGCGATGCACTTGCAAAGAATTTTTTTTTTCTAATAGAGCGATTTTCGAATGACCTTGAAAAATGTTTTAGGCAAGTGTTCGTTATTTGTTTTTTTAGCCAATGGATGAGAAGATCGAAACATGAACTCTTCGTTTTCCCGCCAAAGAAAACCCTAATAAACAGAAGGAATTGTTCGATTGGCTAATAGTGTTGCAGTATGACGTCAAAGCGAAGTACCGATTGATTTCTAGAAAGTTCTCAGGCATGAAGTTTTTTCACCCGAGCGTTCGCTTAACCAACCAAAAGCCACGCGAGTTCGTGTCCGGTTCGATAAACCAATCAAATCGCTCTATTTCTGTTCGTTTGTTGTTTTTGTTTTGTTCGCGCGTTTTCATTTCAAGGTCATACGAAAATCGCTCTATAACTTCTTGCTTTTTAAGTGTTTTCGTTGCCGTCACCGTCGTCGTTGCTTAAACTCGCTACTGTTGTGATCCACAAATTTTGCTACCATGGCAACGAGACGTCACATTTCTCCTCTCTATTACCTAAAGGTGAAAATTTGTTTTGTTCAGGGTTACAACGACATCGGAGTTATCATAGCAACAAACTGACGCCATTACTTATTTTACTTGCAGTTTATTTCTAGGCACGGGGAACTCTTCTTCCAAAATCGATCAAGAGAGCTTTTTCCTCCAATAGCTGCCCCGATTATAGTGAAGTTTAAGAGTAATCTATAAGAGCGTTATCGAGATATTTTGGGATCAAGTTTTTATGGTTGGAAATAGAGTAAAAACTGGACAATCTTGATGTTGGGTCGTTACCTGTAGAAATCGAAGCGCTTTTGAAATGCTACTTCACCTAATAGTAGTTTCAATCTTTTTAAAAACGTGTGTGAAGGATCATCATGGAGTTAGCTTTAGCCGAGCTTAAAAGAAAGATTTGATTATTATGTATCGCGGCGCTCTTGTTACCGGTTTTGTAAATATTTTGGTCTACTTAAACAAAAAAGCAAATAATCAAACACCGCTAAACAGATTTTGTTAAAAAATTGAAAGTGTTTAGATTAACCGTCGCAAGATTTTTGATATCTTGTAAGGCACTGAACTGATAAGGGCTACAATTCGCTAAATTTTTGTGAGAGCTTCTCATTATTCTCATTATATAAGTCAGTGGTTATCAATTGGAACGTATTAAATCTTGCAAACTGCTTGGCGTTCACATCGATGAATATCTTAAGTGGGACGATCACATCAAGCACATGGTACTGCACAATTTATTTGGGCCCTGTGGCGATAAAAAAGGGCGTTAATCCGCGTTCCTTGCCAACCGTGTATCTTGCTTATGCTTTATCATACCCTCACAAATAATTACCGGCGCGTCGCGCGTAACTTTCACATGCTTACGTAACTACGTAAATTTTACGAACGTAAATATAATAGAGGCAATATCTGGAAGGTTCCGCGTAAACGTAAAAGTTGAACCTCGCTCAACTTTTACGTTCACCCACGGCCTTTCACACTTTGTTTCCATTATATTTACGCGCGTAAAATTTACGTACGTACGCACGTAAATTACACGACAGTGGAAATCCACCTTGAAACACTTGTGTGAGAGGCTGGTCCTAAACTAATGCTGAATATTCTGGAATTTCCAGCAAGTAATTGAGGCACACGACCTCTTTGCTAGATTATTAGCAGCACTTCACCGCCCACCATTGATCGTGAATTATTTGTGCGTCATCTTGTCTCTAAATGCCTGAAGAGTGGACAACAGCGCGTATTGTATATGTAAAAGATAACGTAGACATTTTCCAGAAAAAAAGGACTCAGTCTGGTTTTTGTATTGATGCAAACTTTCGGTGATCATTGAGGGGTAGTCGTAAAAATGAATACTCACAGGGAATTAAAAGAGCCTGTTGATTTTTTGTTTTGTTTTTTTGCGCCCACTGCGTTGGAATAGGTGCTAACTACTTTGCACGTTTGGGTTTAAATTGGCCTAATTTAATTCTTTATATCCGAAGATAATTACTGGTTGTAGATCAAGTAAGAAAGAAATTGTAAGAAAGAAAGGAATTGTAACGGAACCATTAATGGATAATGAGTACGTAATTGATTGAAAAAACACTCCTCCGACTAGTTATTATTATTATTTTTTGGCAAAGCTTTGTCCAGTTTTTTTGGACTGAGTGGGTTTTCTTTGCGAGGGCATCAACGGGTTTTAACAACACAAAACGTAAGCGACTGAAATCATCCCTAAACCGTGCTAGTGTGAAATTCCTTGAAAATCTTTGTTAACTTTATCATAACTTTATAAGACCCACCAATTGAAAAATTGGCCAGTGTGTCTCGTGAATTAGGCCAATACAAACCCAAGCCTCAAGGTAACGCTTTGCATGATTCAAAATCGTTCCTGATTTGTCTAAGATTGCATCAGAGAAAAGATGGGTTGGTTGCATCAGAATGCGAAAAGAAAAGGTAAGTCAATATAAAATCGTATTTTGGTTATAATGCTTTGGTACCAGATTCTTAACAGACAAGACAAAGTTATGGTCAACCGCGCTGTTACAGCTGATAAGGCAGATAACGCACACAGGTGAATTTCAGTTGAAGAACAAGATTAATTTATAGCTTGCTTCAACTTAAAAGGGATTTTAAAATTATGACAATAAATACACTGAAGAAAATAAGATACATTACTGGATAATCTATTTTTAAAGCAGTTTTCAGTGCTCTTTTAAAAAAATTAAAGTTACAAAGCTGAATATGATAACTGACTCTTAAGGAAAACAACATGATCGCACATAGAAAAAGGTTCCCTCAACTTTCAAGACAATAGGAATGGTATTTTATGCCGCTGACGTGTAGAGTATGAAGTATATCTCATTAGTGGAGTTGGAGGTTTAGAATATTTATTGTCATCAAAACGAGTTAGCGATAGTTTGGTGATTTAATTCTGTCATTTTGCGAAAGATAAGTCGCCAGCCAAAAAGCGAGAGGCCCTGGGAAGAGTTTATTTTAAACGGTGAGTGCCTGGTAAATGATGGAAAGAGAGAAAAGGCGGAAGCATTTCTTTCTCTTTCCCCGGCTTCCCACTGACACCCTTTTTTTGTGCATGGCAAACTGAACTTTATCTTTGTACACAGTTTATAAGACCAAATTTTTCGGTTTGCAATGCAGATCAGATAGCTGAGTTTTTTTTCCGTATGGGTCACCTTTGTAGGTGTCAATAAGCGAACTTTATTGTTCTATCTCCACAGGATACACCTTTGGCGTTATGAAGAATATCCCATGGTTGTCAATTGTTCTGGTTCTAGGCCTATTTGGATATAGACGAGGTGCATTAGCTTGTAGGATAGGTAAGCTACCTCACACACCCTTACATGCCCAGCGGTTCAAGTGTTTATTTATTTATTTATTTTCTTACAATAAAGTAGAGGAAATGGGAAATTCATTTTTCGAAAATGTCTTTCATTTGACCGCGCCCAAGTTTTGTCGTGTCACCAAGTTAAACGCGGTGAAAAGTTTTGAGGTCGCCTAGCGCCGCCCTCTCTCCCCCTCCCCCCGGCCCCGACCCCTCTCAAAGAAATAATTACGTCTCTGTAGTATTACAGCTGTTCCATTATAACGTTTCAGACTCGACAGCAAAAGAAAATGTTGAGATTCGAGTATTCAACCACGACTACAGAGCAACAGTTGATGAAATCCATTCCTTGTTGGAAAGAGCAAAGCTAGAACACAGAGGTTTTACCAAATCAGCCATCAAAAAGTCCATCGCGTCGGTAGATGAACAACCGATCTACACGACCACGCTCCACTTCGACAAAACAGTTCCGTGTAAACGGTTGGTGTTTGTAGAACAAGAAATCCGGTGGCTTTTACCAGAAGTCTGGGGCTTAGACATTTCCAAACGCGTCGTCTCCACAGTTTCGCGTGGCATGTTTAATGGCGGGAAAATCTGCACGGCGGGAATTGAAATTCATTTGCCGCCACAAAGAGGCTACACAAGGGGAATCGAAAAAAGAGAAACTTGTTATGAGTGGTGTTTGTTATGCTTCCACGCTGCAACGAGAAACTAATCCTATAAATAGTAAACCTACGAAAAAGAACGGCAGAGGAAAGAAACGACAGCTCAGAAGTACATTGATCGCGACAGTCATATTGAAAGCAAATGAAAAACTCAGTGGAGAGGAGAGGGCAAGAGGGAAGGGCTCCTGTCCCCGCCCCCTCCCCTCCTCTATTCTGACCCGTCAACCTCTCCCTTGGAATCATTTCTTGACTCGCTCCAATTCTGTGTCAGTTTCAACGTCCAAGATGGCGGGGAGAACATTTATGGTATCATCGTTCACACTTGCAAAATATGCCAGCTCTGCAGGCTAGAAAGAAGAAAGCAAACCTTGTGTGAACAAGCGTCACAATGATTTTGTTTGAAAATAATTTTCGCCAAACTTCGCCTTCTTTTAAAAGTACTTGTTAATTGCCTAAGACCAAACCAGAGTAATATTTAGTGAACATCACGACAAACATGCGGGTGATAGCTCTGTCATGTTTGTCACACATGAACCTTTTCTCCGTCCTCTTCCCTCCCCCGTCCTGTTGCGTAAGCTTACTAGTATCTCGCAATAGAACAATTTCTATCGTCTGCGACTACAAGTAATGTAAGCATACGGGTTTTTGCCTCATTATCTCTTAATATATCAGTTGGGAAAACATTGGGAAATAACATCAACCCAAGAAATGGCTGAGAAGTGGTTAAAAGGACACAAGCTAACAAATTTGAAAATTTACAAAGGTTTGCGTAGAAGATTTTTATGTACTGTGACAAAATAATTTTGAATAAGTATAAACATATCTCCTCCTTGATAATGTTAATTAGTAATCATAATAAGGTTTAATTACAGTGTAATTAAGGAATTCTAGCAAAATAATAAAAAAAGATAATTATCTCAAGAGTGTCTCTATTCATTTAAATCACTTAAAAGTGGATCTGGACTAGCTTCAACTGGTATGTATGTGTTTAAGGGGTGGGTTCCGAGTGGAATGGATTGAGCAAAATATCCATGGTGAAACATAACTTGGGCCTATTTAACTGTTGTCCTCAGTGATCCGTGCACAATTACCTAAATCACACGAGCTGACACTATTACAAATCCTCAGATCTGATTTTGTCATAATAATTAATGCCTCAAGTGTCCCAAACATTNTGAGAAATAACATCAAACCAAGAAATGGCTGAGAAGTGGTTAAAAGGACACAAGCTAAAAAATTTGAAAATTTACAAAGGTTTGCATAGAAGATTTTTATGTACTGTGACAAAATAATTTTGAATAAGTATAAACATATCTCCTCCTAGATAATGTTCATTAGTAATCATAATAAGGTTTAATTACAGTGTAATTAAGGAATTCTAGCAAAATAGAAAAAAAAGATAATTATCTCAAGAGTGTCTGTATTCATTTAAAATCACTTAAAAGTGGATCTGGACTAACTTCAACTGGTATGCATGTGTTTAAGGGGTGGGTTCTGAGTGAAATGGATTGAGCAAAATATCCATGGTGAAACTTGGGCCTATTTAACTGTTGTCCCCAGTGATCAGTGCACAATTACCTAAATCACACGAGCTGACACTCTATTACAAATCCTTAGATCTGATTTTGTCATAATAATTAATGCCTCAAGTGTCCCAAACATTTTTTGTGAGGGTTTCTTGTTTCCATGGCAACAGCCATTGGCCAGTTAAAACCTGTTCCCCTGGATGCTACATGTAGAAAGAAAGAAATCCCTGCTACCTCAGTGAATCAAGATGTTAAGGCTGAAATCATAGTAACATGTAGAACAGCAGCAACAGGAAACCTTTGAAAGAAGTCACTGCATGTGTGCAGTATAAGCAATGAACTACACATGGTACATGTACATACCTTTCTATTAAAGTCAAAGTGGCATAGGATCAAATTTTTCTCCTTGATTTAATCAGTGAGATGTCTGTTCTCCTTTGTTGCTTGAGTAAATCACATAAAACAGAAAGTAAAGTGACACAAGCAGAGCAAGGATGGCAAGCAGATACAACACAATAACCTGAAAAAGGCAGAGGTAAGTTAACTCAAAATACATGTCCATATTAGATCCCCAAGCAGGAAATAATAATTATTAGGCCATGTATCTTTTATGTAATAGACATGCCCCTTCTGTCCTTTCTTTTTCAAAACCCAACTTAACTTAACTTCAGTTAAGTTCTGACTCTGAACTTCAACTTTTGGCTATTCTGCATATTGATTTTTTTTGGTTTTCTTCAAATCTTGTTCTCCAATGGATTTGATTATTTAACGTCCTCTTGCAAAGTGTTTTTGCTGACCTCAGGCCATTTAAGCCCCCGGCTTTGGCTGTTCTTGTGTATTTTTTTCTTCCAGGAAATGATTAATTAAACGTAGTATTATTATTATTATTATTATTATTATTATTATTATTATTATTAACCCCTTCCTTGCAAAAACGGCCCAATCCCATCACTACAGCAAGGTGAGGAGCAATACTGTTTCTTAGCATTATTAAGCTGTACTTGCATGGCTGCAGTAATTTATGTACCTGGACAGTTTTTCCAGTTGATCTCTTGGACTGAGCTTTGTCGCGAATAGACAATGTTTTCTTCTTACTACGACCTTTGAACTCCTGTTTACCTATTTCATCAGTACAGGAAACAAAAAGCAATGCTTAACCCAGGGGTTATAAAATTCAACAAAATTTCAAATGATGCTGTACAGTCACATGATTTGGGTTGAAAGTGTTCTCCGACAAGGTGAGTGTCCTGTGACTCGTTCTCTACTGTGTACAAGTTTTCATACGGTAATAATATTAGAAGAATTCACCACAAGCACTATAAAACTCATACAGTGAAGCCTGCCTTTGGGACACCTTGATTCGAGGGACGGCTCCATTCAGGGGATGCAAAAATTGGTCCTGGACGGATGTTCAGTTAATCTTTGTATCTGTTAAATACCTCTATTGAAGGGACACCTCTATTCAGAGGAAAGGTACACTTTTTCTGGATCCCAAAAGCTAAGTTTAAACTCCATTCAGGAGACATTCAGCACCCAAAAAGTGACTGACAACAAAAAGGGATCACTTGATAATTTTAGGTTTACACTAATCACAGTGATGTCAGCTTTAACAAACTGAACTATCTCACTTAAATCAATGAACTGCACTTGCGGAAATTCAACACACGACATCACACAGACAAGTTTATCACAGCTTTTTATACATTATCGAGCTGCGTTATAATGGCTGCAGCAAATTCTGTGGCAGAATTTATAAAAAATATACATCACCTTTGTTTGTTAATTATTAAAAAATCCCAGCCCATTCTCCATTCAGGAGGCACTTGCTTCAGTCCCAAGAGTGTCCTCTAAATAGAGGTTCCTCTCTTAACTATGTTCTCCAGCAACATTAAACAGCTGTTAGCCCACATTATAGTAAAACAATAATGACTTTGCAGCCTTTCTGAGAATATTAAGTCTTTTGTCATAATAATTAATGCCTCAAGTGTCCCAAACATTTTTTGTGAGGGTTTCTTGTTTCCATGGCAACAGCCATTGGCCAGTTAAAACCTGTTCCCCTGGATGCTACATGTAGAAAGAAAGAAATCCCTGTTACCTCAGGTACCTGATGAATAAAGATGTTAAGGCTGATAATTATAGTAACATGTAGAACTACGTGTCTTCTCGTTGAAAATATTCTACTATTAAGGACTGTACCATTGGCACCAAAGATAAGCCAACAAGAGGAGAAAGAAGGAAATGCAAACAATGCGTGTGGAAAACAAGCTAAGATATTCAGTCAAGCTGGCAAGTAGAGTGAGTAACCCAAATAACACCTGTGTTGCAGGACACCTTTGAAAGAAGTCACTGCATGTGTGCAGTATAAGCAATGAATTACACATGGTACATGTACATACCTTTCTATTAAAGTCAAAGTGGCCTTGGATCAAATTTTCCTCCTTGGTTTAATCAGTGAGATGTCTGCTCTCCTTTGTTGCTTGAGTAAATCACATAAAACAAAAAGTAAAGTGACACAAGCAGAGCAAGGATGGCAAGCAGATACAACACAATAACCTGAAAAAGGCAGAGGTAAGTTAACTCAAAATACATGTCCATATTAGATTGCCAAGCGGGAAATAATAATTATTAGGCCATGTATCTTTTATCTAATAGACATTCCCCTTCTGTCCTTTCTTTTTCAAAACCCCTTCCTTGCAAAAACGGCCCAATCCCATCACTCCAGCAAGGTGAAGAGCAATACTGTTTCTAAGCATTATTAAGCTGTACTTGGCTGCAGTAATTTAATATGTACCTGGACAGTTTTTCCAGTTGATCTCTTGGACTGAGCTTTGTCGCGAATAGACAATGTTTTCTTCTTACTACGACCTTTGAACTCCTGTTTACCTATTTAATCAGTACAGGAAACAAAAAGCAACGCTAATTAACCCAGGGGTTATAAAATTCAACAAAGTTTCAAATGATGCTGTACAGTCACATGATTTGGGTTGAAAGTGTTCTCCGACAAGGTGAGCGACTCCTGTGACTCGTTCTCTAATGTGTACAAGTTTTCATAATAATATTAGAAGAATTCACCACAAGCGCTATAAAACTCATACACTGAAGCCTGCCTTTGGGACACCTTGATTCAAGGGACAGCTCCATTCAGGGGATGCAAAAATTGGCCCTGGACAGATGTTCAGTTAATCTTTGTATGTATCTGTTAAATACCTCTATTGAAGGGACACCTCTATTCAGAGGAAAGGTACACTTTTTCTGGATCCCAAAACCTAAGTTTAAACTCCATTCAGGGGACATTCAGCACCCAAAAATAAACTGACAACAAAAAGGGATCACTTGATAATTTTAGGTTCACACTAATCACAGTGATGTCAGCTTTAATAACAAAATGAACTATCTCAATTAAATCAATGTACTGCACTTGCGAAAATTCAACACACTATATCACACAGACAAGTTTATCACGGTTTTTTATACATTATCGAGCTGCTTTATAATGGCTGCAGCAAATTCTGTGGCAGAATTTATAAAAAATATACATCACCTTTGTTTGTTAATTATTAACAAATCCCAGCCCATCCTCCATTCAGGGGGCACTTGCCTCAGTCCCAAGAGTGTCCTCTAAATAGAGGTTCCTCTCTTAACTATGTTCTCCAGCAACATTAAACAGCTGTTAGCCCACATTATAGTAAAACAATAATGACTTTGCAGCCTTTCTGAGAATATTAAGTCTCCTTTGCATAAATACCATCTGGAAGTTAATGTTTGTACCACCATGAATCATTTAAAACTACATGTAGCTATTGAAATGATCAACCAAAACCTCTATTTCTGTATTTTATAATACAATTTCTGCATTCAGCATCATGTAACATGCCTGTAATTATAACAAACATTTTCTGTGATCAGTCTCTTGCTCCAGCAGTTGACTTTTGAACCTCTAACAATATTGTCGTACTGTTGTACTGTCTGTTATGTGGCTGGGCCTCACTGGATAACATCATAAATAAACAATTCATCCCAACAAGCTAAAGCATTCTCACAGATTTCAACTTCCAAATACCTGAAATTTAAAGACTTTTCTTTACCATAGACCCTATCACCAACCACTTCCCACCAGGCGCTGCTCTAGCTCCCCACATAATTTGTTCGCCCCCTCACACCCTCCTCTCCCTTCTCACTGAATGACCAGTACCCAGGGTCTTCTGAAATCACACCCCAGGAACCAAACATCACTAAATAGCAGCTAAACATGTGACTGAAGTGAATAGGAAAAAAACAATCAGAAACAAAATGGGGGGTTAAAATCTTTCAATTGGTAATAAAGAGAAATGACTTTTAGTATCATTATCGTGGACACTCTTTACTGTAATGATTTGATTTAGCCCCATCCTTCCAATAAGCACCCCCTTTTAACTAAGCGCCCTCCTTCAAATATGTTTTTGTTAATAAGCGCCCCGATTACAATAAGCGCCCCCATTCTAATCGATCCTTTCGACAGCGTCACCAAATTGGACATCTAAGATGTCGCACCAGAAAGCTTGATTATTNGGCACTTGCCTCAGTCCCAAGAGTGTCCTCTAAATAGAGGTTCCTCTCTTAACTATGTTCTCCAGCAACATTAAACAGCTGTTAGCCCACATTATAGTAAAACAATAATGACTTTGCAGCCTTTCTGAGAATATTAAGTCTCCTTTGCATAAATACCATCTGGAAGTTAATGTTTGTACCACCATGAATCATTTAAAACTACATGTAGCTATTGAAATGATCAACCAAAACCTCTATTTCTGTATTTTATAATACAATTTCTGCATTCAGCATCATGTAACATGCCTGTAATTATAACAAACATTTTCTGTGATCAGTCTCTTGCTCCAGCAGTTGACTTTTGAACCTCTAACAATATTGTCGTACTGTTGTACTGTCTGTTATGTGGCTGGGCCTCACTGGATAACATCATAAATAAACAATTCATCCCAACAAGCTAAAGCATTCTCACAGATTTCAACTTCCAAATACCTGAAATTTAAAGACTTTTCTTTACCATAGACCCTATCACCAACCACTTCCCACCAGGCGCTGCTCTAGCTCCCCACATAATTTGTTCGCCCCCTCACACCCTCCTCTCCCTTCTCACTGAATGACCAGTACCCAGGGTCTTCTGAAATCACACCCCAGGAACCAAACATCACTAAATAGCAGCTAAACATGTGACTGAAGTGAATAGGAAAAAAACAATCAGAAACAAAATGGGGGGTTAAAATCTTTCAATTGGTAATAAAGAGAAATGACTTTTAGTATCATTATCGTGGACACTCTTTACTGTAATGATTTGATTTAGCCCCATCCTTCCAATAAGCACCCCCTTTTAACTAAGCGCCCTCCTTCAAATATGTTTTTGTTAATAAGCGCCCCGATTACAATAAGCGCCCCCATTCTAATCGATCCTTTCGACAGCGTCACCAAATTGGACATCTAAGATGTCGCACCAGAAAGCTTGATTATTGATGTGAGTGACACTGACGGTATTGACATCAAAAAGATTAACTCGTGAAATTTCACCATACAGTTGTTACCGTTATTTTCACGCGACAACGATCCTTTTGAGGAAATCAACGAACTGGACATCGAAGGTACCACACCAGAAACTTTTATTTCCGGTATTGATGTAGGTGACACTGTCAAAGCTATCGGCGTAGGTAGATTAAAATTCTCTCACATTAAATGAACATTCACCGTATATTTGTTACCGTTACAGTTTGTTATTGTTCCTTTTCAAATAAATATTAAAGTTTTGTTTTGGACATTCGGTTGTTTCTCAAAAAATAAATAAGCGCCCTGTCCCGAATAAGCGCTCTGTCTCGAATAAGCGCCCTTCCTCGAGGTACCAAAAGTAAATATATATAAAGCACCCCGTGCGCTGAATCGAATCAATTCTATACTGAAAAGTTTGTACAGCCTCTCCAGAAAACGTGGATGTTAGTATATTTTAGGTTCAAGCTTCCAAAGAAACAACAAAACAACACAGCGCAGACTTACTCACCAGTAATTGCTACAGATGTTAAGTTATCTGAACGAGAGTAAGGCCTTATAAAAGCAGGGTACATCGATGTGTTTAAAATCATTGAAACCTCGCGGTCAAGTCAAAACCTACCAATGTTTTTCCGGAATTTTTCTACATCGGTCCTGCCTTCTGCATCTCTCCGACCCATCAGACTTAACTGAAGAAAATAATTACTTCACATCCAGAGCAAAGATTTGCATAACAACCAATGTTCCTGTTTGTGTCACCTGGATCATGGAGTGTCGAATGAAGTGGCATGACGTGTCAACCTAGTGCCCAGACCTCTATACCGGGCCTTTGTCCCCCGTGCTTCCGTGCATTCCGCAGACCCGATGTCGCAGCTTTTTGGGCATCCCGATTCCCAAATCCCGACTCCCTCAGGACCCTCAAATGGGAGCGTGGAACAGGTTACTTACCCCCTTGCGAGGGAATATGTGGAGCAGGGGCGCCTGTTGATGCGGGACTATAAATGTCAACATGTTACGAGGTATTTGAGCGCATTTATATATACAACGTCATTTTCCACGGTATTCAGGTGAGAGGGGCCTTTTATGAACAGTCGCCGGAAATGTGAGCGGGTCGCCTACGATGCTATCTTGGATGGGTACGCGGTACTGTATATTTAACAGCAGTCACGTCTACTTATGATCTACATAAAAAGGTTAGTGTGAAAGCTGCTCTCATTTCTGAGTTTCAGAAGGGGACAAGAACTCTGTTGAAATTCTCTCAGAAAATACCAGTCACAGTACCTGTTATCGTCTTGTTTAAAAATTAGTCGATTACCATGGGGTCGGGAAACCACGGCCAGTAGAAGAGAACGTGTAGTTGGTGCGTTTGTCAAAAATCATGGTACGCTGGCCCCCCGGGGGGGGGGGGGGG